GGGTATAAAAGACGCGTCGAAAAACATAGGCGATAAGCGCACGCGATAATCGTCCTGGTGTGTACGAGGCTTTAGTAAGGTTGGGGACGCGTTTCAGTGAGGCATTGGTAAGTGAAATGCTGAATAAAGATGCAGAATGTTTTTGTCCTGTACTCTCCAGTAATCCCAAACAAAAGGTCTGGCTCTGGAAGCTGTAGGATTTGCTGGTGGGATTATAGTCTCATGGATAATGATGTGCAGTCAGCGAAAGCAAAGCTTTATTTGAATTCAAATTGGCCGGTAAACAAAACCCATCGGTATGTCTGCTGTTGGAGTATCTGTCTAGTAAGCACTGTGTCAATGCATCAGCAACCCCATGCAATTTATATGGATCTATTATTGCCGTTACAGTGAGCAAGTGTTCTGTTATCTATTTCTTCATTATATGAGGGTTGCTGGAGCTCTGCTTCCATACGATTCCTCTGCGCTACAGAGCCCATATCTGGCTTTTTTTGGCTCTTGTGTTTGTGTCTATGCATTTTGATTAACAGGCACATGGTTTCATAGAGACTCATTCAGAAGCGTTCGCCAATTTGTTTTGAGCAATTTTTTATTTACTTGAAATTTATTTCTTACTACTATTTCTGAAGTCAGCCATAATTATTGGTGCTTGAGACTAGCAAGCTAGCATTGCTACTAGTATTACTTACATTTAGGGTTAGGGATTCTCAACAACTCTCAGTATTAAACTTTACTGAGTAACTTGCCCTGCAATTTGTGTTACAGACGTAAATGATACCCTGATTTATGTGGCTTATTGAGGAAACATACTCATGTTGACTTAGAAAAATCTGGAGGACATTGAAAGAGGGACCTGAGATTAAGTGTAGGCTTTTTTGACACAGAACAGTATCAAATCAACTAGCAACAATCCAGAACACCCTGAATACGTCCTAACAGTCATCAAGAATTTCCTACCAACCACAAAGAAATGTCCTGGGAATCATCCAGAACAACCAAGCTTCAATGCAACAAGTTCATTTGGTTTCCATTGGGTTAGTTGTTCACACCTTGATGTGGCTCTTTTGACTTAGACCAGTATGTAACCAACTAGTAGCCACCCAGAAGACCCAGAAAATGCCCTAGCAACCATCAAGATCGCTCTAGCAACCACATAGCAATGCCCTGGCAGCTGGCCAGAACATTGTAGCATCATTACAACAAGTTCCATTGGTTTCCATTGGGTTAGTTGTTCACACCTTGATGATGCAACAAGTAGTTACAACAAGTTCCATTGGTTTCCATTGGGTTAGTTGTTCACACCTTGATGATGCAACAAGTAGTTACAACAAGTTCCATTGGTTTCCATTGGGTTAGTTGTTCACACCTTGATGATGCTGCATTTGTTGTAAGACAATGAACAGCTATTCAGATATCGCAAACTGCTACTGACACTGGGTTGTTGATGCCACTCAAGGGAGTTTTTGGTTGTGTGTCAGTGACCTAATCAATACTGGATTGGATTGGTTGGTAAATCCAGTGTATTTTAAGGCACCAGAGTGTGTCAGCTTAGTGTCACGGCACTCTATATTTCCAAGTCAGACGCCTTTTAATTGAATTCAACTGGAGCGAGACAAGATGGGTAAATATAAGCCATATGTTCTCTGCACCTTATTTGCTGTAGGTGGTGATTTCAAATAATGTCTTTTGTGTTGTTCTGGAGGTTGGGCAAACTGTTTTCCCTCTTTCGTTTCATGTTCCTGATGATGAGGCAAAGTCATTTAATTAAACATTTCAAAAGCAAGAAGACCTTGAGGTCCTACGACACCTCAGAATACCTAGAAAATGATTATGCACACACAGACCTGCTATTCACTGCTCTGGAAATGTCTTTGCAGTCGTGTCGTGAATCTGACCTTTGGGATCTTTCTTAATAAAGGTGTTATAATTTTTTCCCACTTAGAGCACATACATATAATCAAATGAAGAAGAACTTATGACTCAAAACTGTTTCTCTATACTGGTAGCCTGTGATGTAACTCTGCAGATAACTGCGCCTGCATTTCCTCCTGACAGTATATGAATAGCAAAGGCTTTCATCACTTGGTCCTGGCTCGTGCCTTTAACTGAAGCAAGTGGCTGTGATGGCTTTGATCCTGTGTTCTGCCGCCGTTAAAACTGTTTTCAGGATGTTTAGTCTATGTGGCAGGTAGATCACACACACAGAGAAGTCATAATCTCACTGAATGACATATATTTTCTGTCATATGAATGTAAAAACATCCCACACAAAACATGACAAGCCTTTAGTTAAGCATGATGAGTTTCAGCTAATTAACTATTTAGGTGAAAATGATGCAAACTCTCTAGAACATGTACAAGTTTATATATACATGTACAAGTTTTTATATATATATATATATATATATATATATATGTCTCATTGAACAATGCATATGTGAACATGGGAATAATGCAGTCTACTACAGTTTTTTTCTTCTTCTCAGATTAAGCAATTTACGTAACATAGCCACAACACTGAGCTAATCTAATAACATAAATGTTATTATGGTATATTAATAATACATGGGGAGTGTCTAGTCGTCTGGTCCCACTGGAACTCTGTTCATTCAGCCCTTGAAGAAGTTCACACAGAGGTTCACTCAGGCTGTGACTGACAGGTCTCGAACCCTGAAACGCTTCCCCTTGATTACAGATTCAGCGGGGCCCAAAAGGAAGAGCACAGGGGTCTAAAGTGTCATCCTCCCATTAAGCCGGGCTTGTGTAACCATAATGTGCACAAAATAGCAGCCAGAACACACTCTCATGCATATGGAAATGAATGGCCATTCATTCATATATCAGCGATGCAGGCCGACTCCATCTGAAACGCATTAGTATTCGACGCATTGCAACGTAGAAGTGAACTACAGCCGATCCGACTGCAGTTCTGTCATTTCCGCCGTTTGTTTTGGCACCGTTTAATGGTTGTTGAAGCATCAGCCCATCATCTGACTTTGATTGGAGCTGTAAGATCAGTTATTCTGCAGCAAGACATAATACTAACAGTAAATCTGTTGATCCTATTAACAATAATAAAGGATGTTTTTTAGTGTCAAATTATTTGCTTTTTGAAAATTCAGTAATAAACAAATATGTTTGACTATCACTGTTTTTTTTTATGGTTATTATTATTATTACTACGGCCTACACACGATCTGTTCTATTTGCCTGCACCTTTGCAAGCTCATTAGTCAGGGTAGTATTTTGATTGAAGTCATTATTGCTTTTCTTTTGTAGCAGCACCGTAGAGATTAACACTGAACCGTGTTGTATGAGTAGACAAAGCCTCCACAGTCGGTGCAGTGGATTACTGTCACTACGGAGGTATAGGGAGGACGAGGCGGCCCATAATTCCTATAGAAAGGTAGACAAACACACAGCCACCAACCAACAACTTTTCCCGCGGAGGCCTTTTGTCTTCCCAAAACCCATAAGAGCGCTGACCCAACCAGAGCCAAAGTCTGAAACCGACACCGAATAAGACCGGGATCCTTGCTTCAAAGCATCTTCTTTAATTTAAGATTCTGTTGTTAGATATTTTAGAGCTTATTAATTAGACAGATCAATTGCAAATTCAGCAATGCATTTAAATACATGCAAACTGTTCTGACAAATAGGAGAAAATGTGTGATCACAGTTGTGAAATTTGTCACTACGTACAAATCAAGTCAGTTGATTTTTTACTAGTAGGATTAAATAAATACATAACATGTCCAAACTGGCGAATTATGTCATTGTTTTTACAACTGTCATTGCCTTTTTTTTTATTGTGATTATATCATGACATAACTTTTATGTTAAATACATTGATTGATTATGAAGAGATATTACGAAAAGAATAATAATAATAATTATTATTATTATTATAATACCTTTATTTAAATGTATTTTATATAGTGGTTTCTTGTTGCTGTTGTTGTTCACATTGTTGTGATAAATTTATGGATGCACTGAATGCTCCCTGGCTATACATGCCATGGCAGTGTAATTTCTGAAGTAAAATCTTTATCAAATAGCCATTCTTTGCGTTTGAAAAAAGCCAGCCCATTACCTCGCGACTGCTTTTGTTGGCCCTTTACAAGAGCGAACAAAAACTGTTATTCAGGAGAAGGCTTTAGATTTTTATTGTTGGTGGAGCTCACAGTGTTATTGTATTAAAAAGAGCCATCTGTGCCAGAAACAATGGCTTCATATTATCTCTGAATACCCAGTGAAAAAAATATATAAAGCTTTCTCCTTTCTCATTATGTTTGGTGGGGGTTTTTGTAGACTTGCTATAAGTGACTTTTGTTGTTCTTGATGCGTTCTTCTTTTTCAATCGGCCCCTTTTCAGATGGTGTGGAGCTGTAGAGGGACTGAGGCGGGTGAAAGCGGCCGCGCAGCGAGCACTCTGAGCGGGCACACGGAGCGAGTGGACGCTGATGGATCATGAGAGGGGCCGCCGGAGGAGAGCGCGGCCGGAAAGAGCGCCTGCTCGCTGGGCGCGCATGTGAGGATCCGCCCGGGAGGCAGACGGAGCTCTGGATGTGTCAGTCAAACTGAGTGTAAGTAACTCTGGTCTGATGCTCGGCGTCTGCGCGTGTCTGTCTGCTGGGACAGGATATTAATTAGAGATTTAAAGAGCGTGCTACATGTTTGTTATTTTAAAATATTAGTATGCGCTTTTTTTAGGAAGCTGCATTTTTTTATTCAAGCTATTTTGTTTTAGATATATATATATATATATATATATACGTGTACCGTAGATGTCTACTTGTTGACAGTTCGCGGCTGTTTGGAAAACTTTGGGTGGGGAAACAAACGTTGGTTTTTCAAGTGTTTTTAATTGCTTTTAATATTTAAAATGTATGTTATAATAAAGTACAATTAACACACAAAAATGTGTTTGTTATCTGCAAAATTGTGTCATGGTATTTTATTATTTTTTTAAATAAAATTCTTAAATTAAATCTAAAGATGACTGTGATAATCAGTCATGTCAGAATGATACATTTCATGTCAAACTTTTTACGTGAAGACGAATTGCAAAATTTCAGTTTTTGTTTTAATGTTTCAGTTTGTTGATTTTGGTCGTTGTTGTTTCTGAAATATTTTAAGCACCTATAGCTATAAATTGGATACCGTTATCATGTTGATAGATATACAGTATAAAGCAGTGTTATTTGTCATATTTTGATCTGTAGTCAGCGCGGCCCCTAGTGGAGAAAACTCTAGGCCTTGAGCATCCCTAGACCCCTCTAATCCTTCCCTCAGACCCACTCTCAAAAGCGCGCTCCGGTGGAGAAAACACTCTCTCTCTCTCTCTCTCTCTCTCTCTCTCTCTCTCTCTCTCTCTCTCCCCCTCTTATGCCTACTAATTTCTATCTCCTAATTTTAGGACTTAATGCTTGAACAATTCTAACTCTCACTTTCAAAGAATGTTTTATGTAATTGTTGTGTTCGTTTCTGTGTAAGCCTATATTTGTTAGCATGCACTGGATTTGTTGTGAGATATTGAACGCAAGCATAAAAGCATTGACGAACGTGTAGTTAGTCCTGGTAGTTATTTTCGTTTATGCATGTAGATCATGTGTTTTGGCTTAGATGTGTATTATTGGGAGAAATTTGAAAAACGATTTTTGTACGGTTTCAAATAGCCCAATGGTACTCATAGGAAATGTTACGCTTAATTTTACTTATATGTTTGTTTTACTTATGTTTTCTTTTTATCTTCAATTATTTTGTTTTTATTTATTTTAGTTTATTTATGTTTGTTGATTTTCATCTGTCAGGCAATTCTTTATTTCTAAAACACCAGTCGTCAAGACCAGTCAAGTGATATCATTAAAATGTTTTTTTTTTTGTTTAATATTAAGAAACTTGTTTTTTTCACAAGCTGCTAACTATTATTTAGAACTGCGACAATTAACAGTTTAGCCCAAGCAGGAGCCGCTCTGGGACGTTAGAGATTCCCCGCTGTTCTACACATTTCCATAAGCAGATTAAGGCACTCAAATGCAGATATAGAGAGAGCAGTTTAGAGTTGCATTAGAATGGCGCGTGCTGCTGTGCCATCGTGTTCAAATTCACACGTTGTTAGGCGCTTAATAGAAGTTTAAAATTACATTGAGACTATTTGTTTATTTATTCAGGTATCCATCCTTCAAAAATAAATGTAATAAAAAAAAATTTAAAAAGCAGTAGCTTTATATTTTATTTTGTGTTTGTTCTTTGTAATTTATTTTGTATATGCTAACAATTTATAACACTTTATGATCTTTGTTTTATACAAATGTATAAAACAATCGTGCGTAAATGTGGTGGGAAATATTTTAAAGGACCGGTCGTTGAGCTTTTCCTATATTAATATCACCACAAGAGGACGCCGTTGAAACATAATAAGATCTGCTTTCGTGCATAGTAGAAAAGAAAAGAAAAAGAAATGATCCGACGTGTTTTTCCCTGACATTAAGCCTGTTTGTATTTTAGTTCCACTTCTTTCGTCTTGTCGTTTATTGTCAACTTCTGCTGAAGAATGATCAACAGATCTGCTTACCAAAAATGGCACCGTGTGTTTTAGTTATTATAAAACAGCCCAGTTGTTTTTAACAATTGGATTTCATCAGATTGCATGATTATAAGGCTGTTAGTTTGAAGGAGGCTGTGCTGTCAGTCTTCACGGAGTGAATTCTAATAACACGAATGCTTAGGTCTCAGATGGTCAGTGCAGTCAGCTTTTGTGGTGCTTTTGTTCAGAGTGATGTGATGACAAGAGCCGAAACTAAACTACCTATTTGTGATGATTGTCTCTATTTTCTAATTCACTTTCAGCTTGAGCCGGTGAACACATTCGGGTTATTGTTTCAAGAAATAAGAAATAAAATAAAAATAAGTTGAAGTACGCACACGAGTATATTAATTGTTTATTAAATATGTTAACATATGCTAATAATACAAATAACAACCGCGAATGATCACACAACTAATAATAACTTTAATAACGAAAAGAAATATTGTAGGTTACATTTGTACTTAACTCACTTCCGTAGGCCTACACGTCTTATTCACGAGCGATATTCAAACAAAAGCTTGTAGGCTAATATTATAAAACATTGCATGATGAACTTTTACTAAAAATGTGTTTTCAATTTTATTTTTCAATGTTTTAACAGTCCAGTTAAACTGTTAAATTAGACGTTAACATATGTATGTACTATAAAAAAAACAACAACAACAAAAAAAGCGACTAATCCAGATTTATACAGCACAAGCAGAACTTTCAAATGTATTCCAATGTTTAGTTTCAGGATCTCAAAATCACATGTCCTTGTAATATAGTATGATTAGACAGTCATTTGTGTGAAATATTCTCACTTTAGTAAGTTCTTACGGGACCTGCGGGACATGATCAGTATGTACCTGCCCGGGGCGGAGGTCCAGGATCAGAGCGCCCAGAGCAGACTGCACATGTCCCAACACTACCAGAGCGCACCTGTGCCCGGCACGACGATTAACGGCACGATTCCCTTATCGCATATGTAAATGAACTTTTCTACACTCCTTTGGACTATTTTTGTACAGAACACTTTGGGGAGGGAAAAGTTGTATAGAACTCAAGGAAAGAACACAAACGTTTGCTTTCTATTTAAAATGGAACGGTAGGAACTCCACACAGTTTTTCGTTCTGTTGTTCTTTTTCTTTTCTGTTCTGTTCTCTCTTTTTTTATTCCAGAAGGTGTATGAGATTTGGAAAGCTGAAACGGGGGAGAGTGAATCAAATGTTTTATTATTGCAATCGACTTTTGTACAGTATTTAATCAAAGACACATAATAACATCCAGATGTAATGTTTGTAAACAGCAGGAAGATACGTTTTTTATAAAAGGCAAAAAAGATGGCACAACTGATGTTTACTTCAGTGTATGCTTCAAAATTCTGCAAACGCTGAAAGAACGGGATAAAAAGAGTTTCTCAATGAAGGTACATAGTAATAAACCGTTATTATATTAATGATTATTATTAAGTTCTAAATGAGAGAACAAACAGTGGCACTCTCACAGGTTAGACCTTTTATTTGATTCTTTTCGGTCTCCCACTCTTCATCTGTTAGGTATATGAAGTCTGTGTTCTTTATTTTCTCATGGTTTGTAAATTCTCTGTACATTTTCTGTGATATTTTAAGTTTTTATTTGAAAAACTTTCATTTTTCGTAGTTGTAAGATGTGGCCTGTACGCAGTTGCCAACGCTCCATGTATATATTTTAACTAATAACATCATTATAACAGTTACAATCTGAGTTTTTTTTTTTTTTTTTCAATATGCAGTTTGAAATTAATAAATTTTTGAAATTTGGATATTTGAAATTGTTTCTGGTTTTGATTTTGTTTTAACACTTGGGTTGCTATCTGAATCTGATGTTTGCCTTTCTTATCTAATTATCCTATTTATAGATTCCAAATTAATTGTCACTTATTATTAGTATGCATTCACAATCTCTAACTCAAACTAAATTGTACATAAACAGTGCATTATTGTATGAATTTGTCTGAATAAGATGACACACAGACACATGGGTGCAGCTCTTCTAAAGTAAGTATATTGCAATTGCATGTGCAGAATTATGACGGTGTGTTTATTGGGGTTTGATTCAAACAAATGAAATGTTAGATGCTATTTAAATTTAGTAAGCATAAAGTTAACACCGTTTCTATTTTTTTAGTGGAAACGAGGACTGTGAGCGACTCCCACAGCGTTTAAGTTTCTTGCCTGTAAATCTCTGCTCTGCTTGGGGAGATAAAACGGCCCAAATGAAACGAAGACGCACGTCAAGGTAGTCACTTAACTTTATTTCTTATTAGCTATTTTTATATGACTGCAAGAATTTATAACGCACATTCAGTTATTTTTTGTGCGCGCAAGTTTTTCCATTTTTTTGAAGATTCATCATTTATAATATTTAGAGTTGCGTTTTTTTAATTCTCTGCAATTTAATAGCACTAATAGTTTATTATACATTAATACATAACATTTACCTCGTTATATTTTAACCTGTAACATATATCATATGTATGATATTATAGCTTATAATTCTGTAATATTGTATTTTAAAAATATATTATCAAACATCAACATACATTAGATGCATATTGATTTTTTTTTATAATAATAATAATAATAATAAACCGTTTACAGTATGACACTGTCACTCGCTGAAAATTACATTTGGCGTTATGCAGAATGAATAACATCTTGTGGCGGTTTTTGCGGGATGGGGCCAGTGATGGAGGGGGGGCCCGAGCATTGTGAGATGGGGCTGAATTGAGAACTGTCAGAGATGTCTCTCATTGGGTGAATGATCCAGTGCAGGTGCAGGGAAACAGGGGGATGGGGGTCTCAATAAGACCACACACTGTCAGCCAGCACCACATCAGTCTCGCGCCTCGGCCGGTCCGAACCGAGCCTGACAAAACACAGCGGCGGGTTTTTTTTTTTTTTTGCCTACTTCGATTTTTGATGAATGTAATTTATTTTCTGGAATCCAACAAGTGCGTTTATATGAAGCGTGAAAGCAGATGTTTTCCTTTGATGTTGATTTAACTGATTAGGTTAAATCAAGGCATTTTAACAACGCTATATTTGTGTGCGTTTGTGCGCGTGTACATTTGTCTATTGTTTGGCAGTCGTTTTTAAAATCGAAGGGATTAAAATAAAACTCTCATTTAATATCACTATACAGTCTGTCATAATTCGAACCAAGCTCCCGTTGAAGAATGTGGCACTCGACTCCAATTCAGCCAGATTCTGACAACTGCTTGTCATCATATTCACGCATGCCAGTGCTTTTTTTCCCCCGTCTTGTCAGAGTCTTTGTTGTGCAAAGTTACTTTTTTAGTAAGATCCTTCTTGTTTGCAAATGTAAGACTTGCTTTCTCTCAATAATATTTATGAAAAAACCCTCTTTGTCCCATAACACTGCATGTACAAAGATACTAGTAAAGTGCACACACCTTTTTATTGTTTGCATGCAATTATATGTTCATATATTTGTTTGTATTGTCTGGTGCTTGTTTATACATCAGCTGCTTTGCTACATTTATCAAACCTGAAAGGGGAAAAAAAAGATTTTGATGGCGTCTTAAACTGTTTTGTTATCAATTTGAGATAGCACACGTGATTAATGGCAGTATAACCGTGGATAATTAGTTATTTTTTCTCAACATCAGATGCAAACCATCATCTCTTTATTGATAACTCTGGATTGGATCCGACAGACATATGCAGAATAATGCAAGCCAAAATAAATGTTTATATGATCAATGTATAAATGAAACATGTATTTGGACAGTTGTTCTGATTTGTCATTATCTTGCTCACCTTTCATACTAGATTCTACAAATATTCAAATTCAACAATTCTGAGCTCTTGTAATTATGCAGTTTATGCGCGCTTTTTTTCTTTTCTAATTGCTCCTAACGGATCGGACAATACAGATCAATCTATGCAAGCAGCTCACATCTGCCAGTCTGCAACAAATGGCACCAGTCCATCATGTGTTTCTGTCCTGTATCATTATGCGGAGCAACAAGGTTGACCATATGCAAAGCTGAGGTGCGAGTATTTCATTCCACGCGAGGAACAATCTCTGCTTTTATACAGCAGATCAGTCACAGCAATGCGGATCCAGTGCGCTTTTAATGCACCACTGAGTCTCATAGACTGCGAGAGACGGGGGATGGGGGGTTTTATACACTGATGGGAGGAAAGAGTTTGTTCAAAATATAATTAAATAAAATAGTAATTATCTACCAATTTTGACTCATTTATGCGTGCCTTATTAAAATCGCATAGGCTATACAATTCTAAATAGCGCTTTTCGTTCGTTCGGATTTTAAACATTTACACGATTTAGAGCTACTTTGTTCTTTTTGTTCGCAGCGGCAAAACATAAACATGCAACACGTTTAATTTAAACAGGTCAGTTACTTTTGGTTAAAATGTTTTGGAAAGCTTTTCAAAGCTCAGAAAAAAAATCTTTAGCGAAAATAAGCTTGACTTCGAAATGTGGAACGCGTGTTGTTTTTAATGTAAACGATATGCGGATCGCGCTGCGAATTAAAGCGCCGCAAGGAAGTCGAAAGGAAACGCATCAACTCTCTTTCTTCAAGATTTTATTCAGTCCTCATCAAACACAATAACTATTCAAAACCTATTCGTTGTGTTTCCCATAGGAAATGCCATCAGGTGAATATCCGTGACGCAGTTTTTGCATGGATGATCTTCTGCATGTGAAATCAGTATTTTGTTTTTTTGCTGGTTTCCCAGCATTAGGTTTGGGGGCTGCTAGGAGGTTGTCATTAGCTGACCCTCACAAACAGCAGAGCATTGTTCTCTTCATTCCGCCAATTTCAAGCTTCACTCGTACATAGTATATATGTTGATTAATGACACTAAAAGCGACTGGGCCATCCTACTTAAAAAGATCATATTCGTCGCCAGTCACACTATTTTTGTTGACAAAGTTAGCCTTGATTTCGAAATTTCTAAGAAGCTGAAGCTATTGAGGATCTAAAGTGGATTGATGAAATCATGGATTGGACAAGGAAATTAAAATGTTTTGGGAATATTCCCAGAGCTCATTTCTCTTCTCAGTTTTGGATCAACCAGACGTATGTGTGCTTTCAGAAGAAAGGGTTTGTCTGGACGCTGAATGGGCCCCTCAGCCGGACCATTATGTTTCTCTGGTCACCCCCGTGTCATCTGAATGGAACGCGTGGGCTTGTTGACAACTAATTTTCTCAAAAATGTTCACATCTCTGTGGCTCTTCCTGCCCTAAAGGTATCTACATGCCGTGGACTCCCCAAGACTTTCGCTGTTAATTCGAGCCGTTGAATCGAATAGTCTGGAGATTCGATTCGAATTCGTAATTAGGCCTTTATCAAGAACTCATTATTTAAGGGTGTCATTGTTTGAACGTTAAGTAAATAAAATACAGAATTTAAACTTTATATTTCAATGCTGATACAATTCATTTGATAGCGATCCCACCGTTTACTTTTAAATCAAATTATTATTAAGAAGGAATCGAAAAGGACGTTTTGTTAGAAGTGCATTCTTTATTCTCCGTTAATTTTAATCTTAATATGCATGACATTACAATGAGCCACAGTCCTCAAACGTGTCTATATGATGCAAATACAGATCTAAAAAAAAAATCGACGCTTCGCATTTTAGGTCACCACATGCCTATCTTGCATGAGTCTAATTAATTCTCAAGTGTGGTTAGTGGGTCTAAATCTTTGAATGGCCCCTGTGCTCTCGTCAGAGACCCCGCTGGAATATAAAGGGTTTTTTTTCTCTTACATTCAGACTCAAAGAGCTACTCGAGCGTTCCTTGTAAGTGACGGAATGTAATGCTTGAAGCATTCTAAGGACAGGACACACGTTTGGAGCAAACAAAAGCACTGCGACCATAGGACACTTCCAGATTATGCATGTTATTTTTAGCGCGCGATTTTGTTCATTTCAAACACCATAAAACGAACGCTCGTGATCAGAGCTGCCAGAAACACAGATATGTAATATCTGCATATTTGCACATTGGTCAATGACAAAGTTGTCCGGGATTATAAAAAGGACAAATCTTGTTTCATACATAGTTGAAAAAGGTTTAAACGATGTTCTAAAACAAATTCGATTTGAATGACTAAAATTGTCAAGTGGTGTAACCGTCAATCAAAAGGTAGCTACTAAAATAGGCTATATTAACTAAACTTTCTTTGCACTTTGAATAGCCTGAATAATATACGGCCAGATAAATATTTCCACAATATATTTTCAAGGTAATTTTTTTTTAACATGTTATGATTTTTCAATATGAAGTAATGCGTTTGTTTTACTCTGACATGAGCGATAACAAAGTGGTTGCCTGTATATTGGTTATACCACATTAAATGATTAAAATATATTAAAATCAATATATCTTAAATCAAAATTGCTTAACCGGTTTTTAAAATTTTAAATAATACTTTGCTCTCTCTCTCTCTCTCTCTTTCTCTCTGTCTCTCTCTCTCTCTCTCTCTCTCTCTCTCTCTCTCTCGTTTTGGGACAGTTACACCACCTTTCAATGTATGGCCCGCAAATATATCAACATAACCTGTCATTTAGAAATTAGCCTATATCGTTAGTCATTAGAGAACACGTGTATTTATTTTCATTTATTTATATTTTTTTACGAAATGCATTTCTATTGTTGAAGAACTTGCAGACAGAAAAAAATGAGCGTCATGTCGTAACTATATTTAATGTTTCTAAAATTAAAATCAAAACTTCAAAAAGGTTCTGACCACTAGTACTGAACGAGCAAAATTTAACGAGATTCTTGACCCGTAACTTCCAATGTAGCCTACGCTTAAAATTTCCCACAGTGGTTTTCATCTAAAAAATCCAATCAATAAGGTGGTGTGATCAAACGCGTGGTGTGAGCTAAAAGAGGGTGTTGTTGCTCGTATGGGGTGATACGGGAGATGCTGAAGTGTGTGCTGCCCGGTCAGGGCATTTGATTGTAAATAAGAGAGTTCACACGCCGATCGAGTGACTAGGGAACAGGCAGACCATTTGAACCAGGTGCCTATCTCGCTATCGAGGAGATCAGAGCTCAGCCAAATGACATCTCCCTCTGAAGAGCCAATCTAGTCGCAGGATGAGATTTCACTGTCTTTGCGCTCAGCCCGCCCAATTACCATAAGAAACACAGCGAGTCCCATTAAAACATGCAACAGTTGGTGGGCAGTTATGGCATTATCTGCCAACAACCCAAGTGCTGGGTTCCC